ACAACAGTGACACCAAGTACAGAGGAGCTTCAAAGACTAGCTCATCAACAACCGGTTCATCTAACTCAACAACATCCTCAAACATCCCAGCACCGAACTTTACGTTTCCAACAAATGCACAGAATATTTCGACGGCTAATGATCCGGAATTTATTAGACGTTTTCAGCAACTTATGCAACGTTAAATGACATCTCCGCAGCTTGCAACATCACTCCAGCAAATGCCCCAAATATATTATCCGGCATCTTATTCTTCACGCTATCACTTGGGTAATTATAGCATACAAAATTTTTAATATTTGATTTTAAAATTTTTATTGACGTAAATTTTACATTGCAACACAGACACCAGTATCTACTCAGCCGTCTGAACCTCCGAAACACGTTTCAGAACGCAACTCCAAATGCATGAACAAATGGGGTTCGTTGATCAAGCCGCAAATATCCGTGCTTTACTTGCTACTGGGGGTGATGTCAATTCTGCCATTGAATTCCTGTTGGCTCATCGAAGTTGATTTGCTGGAACTAAATCATGAAATGATCAAATTAGGTAAAATTTTATAGATACATTATTGTATGATTAGTACATTTATACATATCTGTTCTCCGTTGGAATTGCTGGGCCATCTTTTTATATTTCTCTGTAATTGTAGTGGTTTGTGCAGAACCATTAATAGTGTTTGGTGTATTCGGTGAATTCTTTCAATTTTGTTGATTATTAGAACATTGTGAAGTTAACTAAATTACTAAAACATATATTATTTGATCTAAGTTCGTATTTGCTTTTAGCGAAGATACAACAACTAGGTAAATGCATGGCATTGTGTGTCCGGAGCTAAATATATTTATTTAAAAATCCAAATACACTTATTTAAAATCTAAACTACATACAACTATTATGTAAATATGAATAAAAGTCTCTAGACATCTCGAATAATAAAAGACTACTTTTCTGGGTGGTAATCAGTTTGCTCGTAATATCTTTACATTCGCTTAGCAAACATTATGAGGTTAATTTTTTATTCAACCATCCGTAATCAAATTTGATTTTTAGGCAAAGGCGTAGACTGAAGAAGCCGGGATTAGTGCTCCTAGGTCCAATTCGGGTTTGGTCCAGTCCGGGTTCGGTCCAAAATTTGCAAACTAGTTCGAGTTCATATTTTTATACTTGTTTGAAGTTTGGTCCAAAGTTTGCAAACATGTCCCCTGACACAACCACTTCCTGACAATCACCATTTCTCTTTTCAAACAACCGTTCCTTCTCAACAAAACTATCTACTCGATAATTATTTCCTAAAAATCACTTCCCCAACAGCTACACACAACAGATTACATAACTAACAATTACTACATCCTGATGACTCCTTTCTCAACACCACCTAACAACTATTTACATCCTTGTTAATTACCACATCCTCGACGATCACCTTTTTCCCAAAACCATTTACCACTTCACCACACAACAATTCTTACCAATACATTTCTAACAACTTTTATTCCCAACATATCATCTACCACAATAACTTCCACGAAATTATTCCCCCTTAACTGATAATCATTTCCCAAATTAATGTTTAAATAAAAACAAATTGTTAAAATTCAAAAATTTTACTGGTCCAATCAAATTTTAAGATCACATATATGCAAAGTTTGAACTTTTGAGTTACAAACTTTACATTACATGTGATCTTAAAATTTGGTTGGTCGGGTTTTAATTTTAATTTTTTTTTTAATACCCGATTTTTTCTTATATATTTATTTTTAAGAAAATGATGTTTTTTTATTAAAAAATTAATTTAACTCTTTTTTTTTTATTTATTTAACTATGTTTTTTTTTAAAAAAAAACAATTTAAACTTTATTTTAACTTAGGCCAGGCAAAGTTAATTTTTTGGTTCTCATATCCCGGCCAGGTCATTAAGTCCAGGAAGAATTTTATGAGGTGTAGTATTTAAGTTGACTATCAAAATTGAGTATACTTAATATTAATATTTTGAATTGAAGTAGGAAGACATTAACAAAAGAATACTATGCTAACTTATGTTTTAATAAACTTGTTAAAAGGCCTTAGCAAGTATATCTTGTAAGAGCAAGAGAAGAAAAAAACATTAATAGATGTGCTTACAAGAATACTTTTTTGGCTTTTTTGAGTCTTATAATATAAATACAGGTGTAAAAACAATCTCTAAAAGAATTGAATCTTTGAGATATGATTTGATTTAGTAAAAACTAACCATTTGGATATTTATTAATCTACTTTTTTTTAATATCCAGATATTGGTTAAAAAAATTGAATTAATATTTTGTTAAATATTTATTGGGCATTTGAATACTTTTAGTGATTTGAAATATTATAATTCACTCTTTAATTTTATTTATTTTTTTTATTTTAAATTAAAGACCAGATTGATAAAAAAGCATTTAGCAAATATGCTTTGCAAGTGTATTATACAATTTTGTGTTCAGATAAGACTAAAATTTACAATCAATATTTTGTATATAAATTTCAGAAATAAGAATCATAAATCAACATGAATAAGAAATTAATAACAAATATATAGATTATTTTAAATATTTCAATTAATATATAACAATGACTTTCTGCAGACAATGATTTTTGAAAAATTGCCTGTATTACAATTATGTTATCTGTCGATTAGTTGTTTGATACACCATCTTGAATAGGAGCTTTGGTATACAGAAAATCCAAATAATCAAAGTAATATAAACCCATTTGGGAAAATTCAAGTAAGGAGGTAGTGGAAGCTTCTAACAGTACTACAGGAGGACCAAATTTAGAAGCAGAGGCTGAGATTAAAGAACCAAACAACAAGAGGTCTCTGACAAAAAGATTTACCAACCAGACCACCAGAACTATCACACTAAAAGAAAAGAATATATGCTCTGAAAGTATATACCAAGGGGAGGGAGACTATGAGGCACCTAAAGCCTGAGCAGACAACCTTTTTGGATTATCAGTTGGGAATAAGGGAAAGACTAGTAAATAAATCTGTGAAAGAAGAAAGTCTAAATGTGGAGTACTGGAGTTAATGTGATCCTTATAAGGCATAGCAGTTTAGAAGATAACTCCAACTACAAGTAGAAGTCTTGGTGACTGTGATACCAGGAACTGTGAATAGTATATAGATCTTGTCTGATAGTAGGGTTTCATTACCAATTCAGTAAGAAATTAGGTTAGGGTAAATTGTGAAACTAGAGATACTTAGAATTATCAGATAAGGTAGTTCTTAGATATAAATAGTTGATCATAGCCCTAGTCTTAATATATATAAAAATTTAGCTAGATCATTAATATTATTAGAGAACTGCAATACTGTGGGACCAGGAACCCAGAATGTCAAATGATAGACTTAATTGTACTAATTATTTAATATAACTAATAAAGTATAATGAAAACAAATCTCTCCTTAGTAATATATATATATATATATATATATATATGAGGTGAGTCAATAGAAAAGAGCCAAATTTTTTCTAAGTAAAAATTTTCTTGACTTTAGGCTTAAATATCTTGACAATTATTTTATCAAATTTAATAAATTTTTTTATTTTAATTCTATATAATTTCAAGATTAAAATAAAAAAATTTTTAGCAAATTTGATTAATTAGTTGTTGAGATATTTTAATTTAAAATTAAAAAAAATTTACTAAAAATGATTTGTTCTTTTTCTATTAACTCCCCATATAACAATGACTGAATCAATTTGAATAAAAATTGTTTATCAACCAAATCAGCAATATCACTATAGGTTATAAATATATATATATATATATATATTTTGGTATTAAGGTGACCTTTTGGCCGGGAAACATTTTATTAGACAGTTATGTTTTTCAATTATAGTAAGGGTACATATAGCCACACATGCACTTTTTGGGTACCTAATTTAAGTAGTCCGCCCAAAGGTTCTATACTATCTGCCATACCTATACCCCAACTAGGGGGGTACTCATTTAAACCCTCTGACCATAACCTACTTCCAACCCAATAGATACTATCTACCTGAAATGTAGTTTACTATACACAGATAGTTTACTATTATCTAATCTGATTTTGCACCCATCTTAGGACTTACTACCCCTCTAATGGGGCTAGTCTATCCATGAGATAAACCTAACAGAGTGGTCCACGTCCCACACGTGTTTTCACCTGCATGTTCGGTAATTTCTTCCCAATTAGTATCTATTGTCTGCTGCTATTGTGTTTGTATTTTATGCTATCTTTTGGGGCACTGCCATAACACAATTCGTATCTCAAGCACAACCTTCCTAATTAGTCTTCCATTACGTACTCCTGCCCTTGTATTGGTTCACAACAACCCCAGTACCCACATTCGAGCTATCTCTTTACTCGGATTCTTTATTGGTCCATTCCTTATTTCCAGCTGGCAACCCGGACGGGTTGGTCTGCTCAGGCTTTAGGTGCCTAAAGGATGCCTTCTCCTTGGTCCATACTTTCGGAGCATATGGCCTTTTCCTCCGGTGCGTCTAAACTGGCAGTTCAGCTAGTGTGTTCCCCCACTAAAGGACCTGATCGCTCGGTTCTCCAATCTCGGGCCCCAGTTCAAATTCAGCCTTCATGTAGTATCATCAAAGATCACTGCTACCTTCAAACTCGGGACTTCCCAAATGGGCTCTGATCCCCGGTCTTGTGACCCGTGCCAAGCACGGCCCACAGATTACAGCCTTCTAGAATCCTTTTCCCGGCTTCACAGACCGGATCACTAAATCATTCCTGGGCCAATCTAAGTAGAGATTGTCATCTGATATATTCCATTTCTTTTCAAAAGTGCCGTCTCTGGGATTCAAACTTAGGACCTATACCATTACCATTTGGTGAGGTGATGACTAGACCACTTCACTAAGATGCCACACCTCTAGATTATAAATATAGAATTAAATTTCTTACATCAATTACTATATAATTCACAATAATTCTAAAGCAAACCAACATAAATCACAATAGTTAGTAAAATTCAATACAATCTTATCTAAACCACTATGTTACTATAGATCATAAGTACAGTAACTGAATTTCTTATAGTCAATCACTATATAATAATTCTAATATAAAACTAGTATAACCCTATCTAAATCACAGTAGTTAGTAAATATAGCAATTAAATTTTTTACAGCAAGTTATTTTAATACAAAACTAATATAATTTCCTCCAAATTACTTGTGTTATTATAAATTATAAGTACAGTAACTAAATTTTTTACATTCAATTACTATACAATTCATTATATTTTCAATACAAATCTATCTAAATTACAATAGTTAGCAAATATAGCAACCGAATTTTTTATAGTAAATTAATCTAATACAAAACTAATATAATTTTATCTAAATCACCTATATCAATATAAATAGTAAACACAATAGCCAAATTTCTTATAGTTATTTATAATAATTCTAATACAAAACTAATATAACTCTATCTAAATTATAATAATTAAAAAACCAGCATAAAACAAAACCTTCACAAAAAAAA